AGACTGCACAAACAGGCAGGCGTTCCTAGTGAGGATGCATACATATAATCCCCTGTGTGGGTGTGAGCCTGAAACCTAAAATAAATAATAATTTTTAAGGGTGCTTTTAACAAGTTTGCAATATAATTACACTAAAAAATGCAAAAGAGATGTGAAAAAAACTTTTTTCCTCTGACACCACCCCCCAAACATCTGCTCTGAGGTGGACTGCTGCAGGTTTGGGGACCTCCTTTCCTGTCCCCTTCAACAGCTTCCTCTTCCCTTCTCCTCTCTGCCTCTTCCACCACCTGTTCTCTACCTATCTCTGTGGTTCCCACACCCCCCAACACACACACATTTTCCCCTTCCTGCCACTCTTAAGGCTTGGATTGGTTCTTGAATGGCTGGGATTCTCTCTCATTCAGCACACCTCACTGGAAGATTTGCTGGACCTGAACATGAGCCCTCCGGAGCAGAGAACAGGCTTTGTGGTTGTGAAGCAAAGTCAAAAGCTCGGTACTTTAGTGGATCAGATAGAATAGGCAACAGGTATTTGCAAGAAAACTTCACTTAGAAGTTTAATGAAAGGAAACTGTTTTGCTAAAGCAGGAACAGGGAATTATGAAGGTGATTTAAAGAAAGCATCCCTGTTATAATAAGTACCAATTACACACCAATAAATAATAATAAAACAATAACCATAATGATAAATGTCTTAGAAGAATTACACACAAGCCTTCAGATTTTAGTTAAGAAAACATTTTTACAATCTACAAGTGCGCCTCAATATTATTGATTAGACAAGGTCTCTAAGAGCTTTGGCTAAGTAGGCTAGACAGGCTTGCCACTGACCCCAGGGTTCCCCTGCCTCTGCCTGCTTAGTACTGACAATAAAAGTACACAGCACCATGTCTGGCTCTATTACAGGAGTTCAAGGGGTCAAACCCGAGTCCTCATGGTTGTGAAACAGGAAATTTACTTCTCAGCTATCTTCCCATGCTTTGGACACACAGGACCTTTAGTAGTCAGCAAAGAGCCAGACTTTTCTGGAGATAATGCCAATGTGCTCCAGGAATGGCTTGCAGGAACCTGGCCAGAGGCTGTTCCATACTGCCTGAAATAGAAAATCCAGAACTTTGACAACTGGTAGTGAAGGGCATTTGTAAACACTCAGAGAAGTACATGTGTCAAAGAGGATGTGATATGAAATATGTCCGCTTTGTTCCATGGAGAAGCCTGTATGATTCTAGTTTACCAAGCATGGCAAGGATGCCCAGGGAGAAGGGCACAGGCCTCGGCAGATGCCCAGGGATGAAAACTACACAAGGCTAGGGTTGTGGTGTTTGAATAAGAATGGTCCCCATAGGCTCATATATCTGAATGCTTGGTCATCAGAGAGTGGCACTACCTTAGAGGGACTAGGAGTGTGGCCTTGTTTGAGTAAGTGTGACCTTATTGGAGGAAGTGTGTCATTGGAGGTGGGCCCAGAATCTCTCTCCTTGCTGCCCTTGGATCTGGATATAGAACTCTCAGCTACCTTATATGCCTGTATACCACCATGCTTCCCACCATGAGGATAATAGACCAAACCTCTGAAACTGTAAGCAAGCCCCAATTAAAGGCTTTCTTTTATAAGAGTTGCCATGGTCATGGTGTCTCTTCACAGCAACAGAACACTGAGCAAAACAATGTTTCTCACATAAGTCACTTTTGGTAGAGTGTTTTATCTCAGAAACAGAATGAAACCAGAACAACACATGCCAGATCCCCTAGACATACTGCAGTGCTCCAGGGATGGCTTCCTGGAACTGGTCAGAGGATAGCCCACACTACAGGACAAAGAAAATCTAGGCTGGTTAAGTCTGGTAGTAGAAGAGTGGCGATCAAAAATCTCAGAGAAGTGCATGTGCCAGAGTGGATGTAACAGCAAACATTTCCAGGGAAAGTGTTCAGAGTCCATGACACTCTGTGGGATGCTGGAACACCAACATTGAGAAGCATATTGAGAATGACCTGGGAGAAGGGCACCAGGACTGTTCAAGCTCAGGGATGATGATGACTCAGGGTTGTGAATGTGCTTGAAAACTATTTCTAACTTTGAATTCCATGGTACAGAAAATCCCATCAGTTGGAGTGGTCAGGAGGCAGTAACATCAAGGGCAGTGGTCCATTGATGAGGAAGGGGGACCCACCTTGAAGCCTAACTGCTTAAGGGGGTCATGGCTAACAGAACACAAAATCCTAAATAGAGATAGATGGTTAGCCAACCCAGATGTGGCTTATTTTAATAATTAAAGACAGAACAGATGATCAAGAAGCTGAGAGCTGCTGTCCCATGAAAAGCCCAGGCTCCTGTGCCCATTGTCTAAACTGAACCATTGGGGGTGGAGAGGTGGTGCAGTGGTTAAGGACACTTGTTCCTCTTGCAGAGGATCCAGGTTTGATTCTCAGCCACCACACTTGGTGCTCACCACTGCCTGTAATTCCATTTCCAGATCCAATGCCCTCTATTGATCTCTGAGGGAACCAGGCACATATATAAAATAAAGCTAACTAAACAAATCTAACTGAACAATTAAAACTGAATAACCTCAATGAGATCCCAGATCTCTGAATACTTGGTCCCCAATTGGTGACAGCTGTTTGGATAGGTTTAGGAGGTATGGCTGAAGGAATTATGTCACTGGGGGTGTGGATTTGAAGGCCATTTCCATTTCTTCATCTCTGGACCGTGCTTGAGGTTTAAGATGTGGGCTCCCAGCTGCACATGGTATCACAGGGCTCTCATCCCAGCACTTGAGCAGTAGAGGAAGGCAGATCTTTATGACTTTGTGTCTAGTACATAGTGAGCTCTAGAACAGCAGAACTATATAGTGAGACCTTGTCTCAAAAACCCAAACCAAACTAATTATATAAGGGCTCTAATCTTGCTGCTCCAGCCACCATGCATGTCCATTGCCATGCCTCTCTGCTGTGAGGTGTTGGACTCTTGTCCCTCTGAAAATAAAAACTTCCTCTGTATGTTACCATGGCCTTGGAGTTTTATCACAGCAACAGAAAAGGAACCAATACCACTATTATATAAACAAGCCAGATGGTCTCTGTTACACTTGCTCAGCTCTATCTCTATATGTTGAATAAAAATGGCTGGACCTGTCTCTAGGGCTCTATGACTCAGAACAATCTGTCAGCTTGAGGTGTCAGTTCTAGGAAATGGCCTGAGGGAGTTCATGGCAGTGATTAAATGGAGAATCACCTTGCTTGGGCCAGGAGCCAGCCTGAAGCACCTGCAGCAGGGAAAATACACTCCATTTCATTGTGGCTCCTGACATGATTTTGGGCCCTGGGAGAGAGCAGCCCATGGGTCCTGGGCTATCAGGAGGCCCATCAGGCCTCAGGCAGACATCATGAGGTGAGCTCTTTCTCACTAGGTTATGAGGTGGACATGTCACAGTCAGATGAGATGTCCAGCAGTGAGACATCGCTGCAGGGACACAAGAGTCACTGTGTGTTGAGAGCTGCCTAGCAGGGAGAGACAAGGACTCTTGTCTGACAGAACATCTCCTGTTCTCCAGATGGTTGTGGAGATCTTACCTCATCTAGAGGAGGTGACTGAGGTTAGTTCTCAAGTAAGCTGCCA